GAATAAAAAATAATAAGTAAAAATACCCCTTGTAAATTTTTAGGGGTATTTTGGTCATTTTATTCTATTGAAAATATTTTTTTTATATTTTTCGTTAGTGCGAGTTTAATGGAGGAATGGACATGCAAAATTTGGTGTCAAACAGTTTATAGAAAAAAATTAAAAATAAAACAGTGTAGAGACGTAACATTGTGATTAGGACAATCTTAGCCCTCCATTAAAAAATGGACGGTTAGATAAGGGGGATGATAGAACTTCTATGTTGTAGGGGGAACATATAAACTTTTCCATAATACATTTACTTAGGTTGGTTTCTAGGTTGAAAACATCATAAATTTGAGGTCCTAAAAATACACTTGTGTAAGTAGGGGTGGCAAACGATCGGGTTGGGTTCGGATCTGATTGGACCTGGACCCGGACCAGGACCCAAACCTAAAAAAACTGTTATGGGACCTAGACTCGAATTTACCAAACTCGGACATGGACCCGACTTAAAAATTAGAAATTTTTTTTATTTAACTATATTTAAATATATTTCATAAATTGAGATCCGAAAAATATCACTGTACTCAAACCCAGCCCCGGATAGTGTTCGGATCCAAGATTTGGACCCGAACCCGACCCTCCAAATGCAATTTTTTTACTATACCTAGACTCGGATTGAGTCTTCCCCTCGAGTCTCGGGTTGAGTCCGGGTCCATGGCCACCCCTATGTAAGGTTGGCAACAGGGCAAACCAATCTTGACCGAACTAGGGCCGTTGGCTAAGTGGCCTTTTAAAAACTAAAAATACCAAGAGAAAAACATGCCATGCTATCATGGCGCCTAGCCAAGCCTGGGCCTGGGCCTGGGCCTGGGTTTTCCTACACGGCCATGCGGGGTGATAAGCTGTCGCCAATCATACTCCTACTTACCACAAAGGAAGATATATTCTCTATGGAGAGCATTTAATTTTGGGGAACCTTTTTCAGTAAAAGCATAGTTTTGACTGATCTTTCTATATACAGGGAAATTATATGTACTACTCTTTTCCAGCTGTCCGATTTGATTAGGTACGTGAGATGGCTTCAATCATATTGTCAACCTTGGATACTATTTTATTTTTAATATTTTCCATATTGACACCAAATTTAGGGCGCGACATTATCTCATAGGGGTTATGGATAGTCTGGTAATTTTATTTAGTCAGAATTCTTTTTTTCATATTTTTTTAGGTATATCCCTATTAAAGGATGGTACACACCAAATTTCATGTTATTATGATTTGTTAAAAAAAATTTAAAATAAAACATTTTGAGCCATTAGATTGAGATTAAACGGTCAACGGCTCAATTGAAATATTATACCCAAATTTATCTCAGTTGTTCATTCAAATCTAAAAATAGGTGACTTACATGAGTTCCCCAATAATATAGAGGAAGTTTCCCTATAATTTTTGAGATTGTATGGGATCATTTAACTTTAGTACAAAAAAGTCACAATTATTAATACAATCCGATCTGAAATCTGATGGTTTGTGTGTATCACTAAGTTCAATTTATTTTTTTAAAAAATTTGAGCCTACACCTACTCAAATCCAATATTTCAGATTCGATGTAACCTTCATATACCAAACTTAAATGGCCTTGTTGTTTACTTTTTCATAAATAAATGTTGGAGCAAAATGGGGAGAATTTTTGATAAAATTTCTTGGACCTAACTAAATTTGGCTAGGAGGAATTTTGTTTTGGTGGATTTCGGTATCTGCCGAAAGTTTCATACCATGAGCTTAAGCTCATTTAATGATTCGAATCTCGTTAATTTTATCACATGTAATGGACAGCTCACATGAAAAGGAAATGTTGTTAACTACGTCTGGGCCGTCCATTCTTTGTGCCAACGAATATTCTCGCATATTCGTGCAAGACAATAGATACGAAGAGAGGATAAAGATTAAAATTTTAATACGAGGTTGCCGTTGCTTCTGACTTTTGGTTTAGATCCATTAAACAAGGGTTTCTCTCTCTACAGCTATATTTTCAATTCTCTCTCTATTTTGTTTCTCTCTCTACAGCTATATTTTCATCTCTCTCTCATGCAAAGGCATATAATAAAGGTTGATCTCCACCCTCCATCAAGCCAAACAAAAATGCAAAAATGCCAAATTTTAGAGTGAGTGGTTTCAACATTGCAATCCTTAAGGAATACTACTATGGGGATGAGAATAATTAGGTTTGTGTTTCTTTCTATTCAACACAGGGGACCATCTAAATTCATACATGGTCCAATTTTATTTGTAGTCAGGATCATATTTTCCTTGATGAGATAGAGTCCATGAATACCAAGCTTATGGGAATCCACATAAAGATGGCTCATATACGATACACATAGGTCTGACAATTAAAGCCATTATTTAAAAAATAATAATATTATTCTCCACCTTAAACACGTGCTCACGATCACGGTCTAGTAAAAGCCTTCTTACATACTCCCTCGAGTAAAAATATATGCTAGGGATGCTTTTTAGATCTCAAATTTTAGAAATGTAATTTAACAACCCATAGAATAATCTCAACAAAAGAAATTTCCAAAATAAACTCTCGATGTACTCAAAAAAAAAAAAACTCATTCATTAAGATTGAATAGAAACTATCAATTTTTTAAGGTCTAGGTATGATTGTCACAAGACTCAAAATTCAAATTATTTCTTTTACAGATAATCACCAAGTAATTCTTATATGGTTCCCAAAATCTTAGAATGTAAAATCCTCTTAAAGATGTGTTTTCAACGAGGGAATAGATGCACATTATGCTCCCGTTGGAGCATAATATATGCGGTCAAATTCATGAGAAAAAACAAATATACCTAAAGTGGAAAAGTTCCTATTTTGGCCGTCTTTGTTTAAG